CAAAGAGCACTTAGGGTGTAAAAAGACGGCAACGTCTGTAGGGATTTCCCTAACAAAATAATAAATACTACTACCACTACTACTATATGTACAAAGGAAAAGGACATAAAGATACGAGTTAAGAGGAACTCTCCATCACTGTAACTGGATACTATATACAGTCAGAAAGTGCAGTAACTAGGCACAAACTGGCAAGAGTACTGAGACATTCGACGTCCTGACACCTAGCTTCAACACAACTCCATAGCGCTAACCGACAGCCTTCCAACTTGGAAGGTTCAAGGTTATGGAAAGACCAAAGAGGGGAAGGCAAGCGCAACGAAAACGAGCAAAAGCTACAACCAACGGAACAAAGAATGTCGATTGTTACTGGACGATGACGAGACCAGTACGATATTTGACAAAGCGGTCTAACTACAATTTGAAACAGCAAAGCAGCAAACCAACCAACTGTAGCTACTGATTGTCAATCAGTGTGAGAAACGACTACGAAATGGCCTTGGGACGAAATTTTGAAGTATTTCTTTCACCACGAGGCCCGACCTTTGGCGATTCGCTTCGCTATAGATCAGGCTATGTGGCAGCCATGGCGTTAAGCGTGGCCTCATTCTTTTGGCCGCGGGAAGAGCGCTTAAAAGAGCCCTAGATTGTCAAAATCAAGCAAACAGAACGTAAGTTATGGTGGAAATGGTGGAGTGAACTACAATTGCATCTTTTTACCCAAACAAAAGGGTTTGTCATATTCAGCTAAGAGTAAGTATGTTGCCTATTATGCTCATTACTAAGTATGGTTGGTGAGACAAAAATTGCTTGCCTCATCACACTGTTGTTAGCTCGACCGCCAGAGCAAGTGTATGTTGCCATTGTTGTCGTAGTCTGTAGGACATTGGCGTTGGTAGCGTATGAGTTACAGTTGAGTTACTATCAGTTGGTTAGATAATCATCAAGTGCATCCGCACTCAGCCGTAACACCATGTGGAATGAACAGGTCAGCTAACTCACGCAGCATTCTCTTCAAGATTGTTTTTGTTACGTATTCCCTAGAGCACATGTAGACAATGTTACACATCGATAGCGTCACCCAGTCACTGTACTGTAGTTATTTAGGTACTGCAAAGTATAATGTAAGGATTTCACAAAGGCTTGTTGAATTCTTTATTCTCAGGATGGTACCATTGCCAATAAGAGAAGGCTGTACGTGATATTGCCGTGTATACCGATCGTCATCTTGATAGTGGTCATTTGTAACAAGTCATTTCCCAGTCATGCAAAGACGTGAAGTGGTTGTACAGCCACGTGGTCGCGTGAGCCGTGTTGCATGTTGCCTTATCTCATCGAACACCACTTAGCTCAAGAGCTGACATTCGGGAGGGTTAATTTTAAAAGCGTCTGCAGCCATTATCCATGAGCAGACGTCATCAAAACAGCTCTACTCTAGGCGGTAATGCCGATTCTCCCTGGGGTATGTGGACACAGTACGTATACCTCTGTTTACCGATCACAAGCGATAAAGTAACACATTATCTACAGAGGTATCGCCACCTAACTTGGCAGAGTGATCAATACCTCTGATCGGCGGAGCGTAGTACAAGAGCACAAAAAGGAACCTACTGTATCACCGTGTTGGATGTACCGATATTTGGCCACCAAACATCGGCCAACACCTTTCTGAAGATTATTTTGTCAAACTTACAGCGATTAAGCCCTGACTGTAAAATTACACTGCATTTAAAGCTCTTATAAAGCACATTCTCTACATGCTTAATCACTTGGATTTCAGATTATGATGTTGTACCACTGGTAGGGAGTTCTGTTCAGGACCGGGTAAGGCGAAAACAACAGTCACAAATCGCGTGTACATTTGCTACAGGGCCCGCATGACAGCTCTTTCGCCTGACTTCGAGCCCGCTTCTATCTGATCTCGCCAATACAGTATTTATTCCCTTGCCGATGGTATCTTTCGGTAGCTGAGGTCCTGACCTTTACATTGAAATGATGCTACACATGCCGTCATATGCCGTGCTTCAAAAAATAACGACTGCCTCGCTTTGCGCAGTGGCATAGATAGGGAAGGACTGATCTCGATCGTTTGTAGGGGGGTGTCTTCTTGCATGTTATTTTTTGAGGGTGAATCGCTTCAGTAAAGCAATTTCAATGCGGTAAAGGTAGGGTTCGTTCGCGCAACATGTGTGATCTCCATGTGCGATGGGTACATTAGAATACAATTGTTCCCGTAGCTATGCAGAAGACGTTATTTCAGTAACATCTGGTGCAAGCCATTGTGAACACAGCTTTAATTTGGTGTTTATTCATTTGTTTGTGGCGGACTGACCTCTGTCTGGCGCTATCCCGTCTCTGCCACGTCTCGTACCGTACCATCAACAAGTATTTCCTGTCCAGATTCTCACCATCAGTTACATGAGTTGTTTTGATCATTTCGCAGCCTGCAACAGGTTTGGCGCCATGGTGCTTTCTCTCTCCCTCTTCACTCCTGCTCTAGTCTTGCGCTACTGTCGCTATCGTCTTTGATGACTCGGTAACACTGCCCTGTTATCGCCTCTATTCTCATCTATACCCGATAACTCTAAAAACAACTCAATACCACTGTCCCAATGCCACGTCCTCACTTCGCACATATGCACGAACTTCAACACTAGCATCAAATATCTAGGCCTGCTTAAAGAGAATTCGATAGTGAATGCTGCTGTCTGATGATCCCACCGATGCATGAAACTTTAAAAGTTAATTAATTACAGCTAACACAGCCGTTCGCCTCTGTTGTGTGTGTAATATTGACTTTATAGTACACACATGTGAAAGAAAAAATCAAAAGCGTTTCTGCAATAACTCTGAGTTTCACTGGTTAAACCGTTAATCAGACAGCAACTTAACTACACTGCTCTGAGGATATGATTGATATAGGTTGCTGCAGGCTTGCAGCATGGCACTAGTGGACGAAACGGGCCAAAAGTGTGATATAAAAATGATTGCGTGAGTTGAGTGATGTTTTTTTCGCTGCTCCATTCTTGGGTACCGGCCAGTACTGTGCACTATCTTGATTCATGTCATCAGCCAGTACTGATACATGTATTGGTCTTCCTGCTTGCTGCATGTTCTCAATTCTAACTAAGGGGTGGTAATGTTTTGTGAGTACTATTCTGTACCCGTCTACCCGAGGTCCTCATGGGTAGCACGGGTACCCGACTACCCGTGCACACCACTAGATATTTGCAGTGCACAGACATGCGTGCCTTCATTCAGTGTTCACCCCCCCCCCCCACAATGATCAGAAGTACATACCACAACTCAGTCCACTTTTTAATAGAATATTTCTCAATTGAACCATGGGAAGGCAACAGAAATATAAATGCCAGAACGCATTTCTACGTGTAGAGAGAGAGAGAGAGAGAAAGAGTGGAAGAGAGAGAGAGAGAGAGAGAGAGAGAGAGAGAGAGAGAGAGAGAGATAAAGAGAGAGAGAGAGTGAGTGAGTAAATGAGTGTGTTAGAGAGAGAGAGAGAGACACCCAGAGACGGAGAGAGACTCGGGGAGAGATAGATTGAGAGAGACAGAGATAGAAAGAGAGCGAGAGAGGAAGAGAGAGAGAGAGAGAGAGAGAGAGAGTGAGAGAGAGAGAGAAAGCGATATGGCCAAATAAAGTGAGAGAAACTGAGATTTCTACGGAGAGAGAAAAGGTGAGTCCGATAAAGAGATGTGTTCTACATGTATGTCGAAGTGTAAGTGAAAGGCAGACGAAGGAGGCCAACATCTTACAGCGTAACACGAGGAGTGTGAGGGTTTTGTAGAGAGTCAGCAATGATTACAATTATAGCTGTTCTTTGTAGAAATGTAGAAATGGAGGGGGGGCAGAAACCGTTCTCTAGAGCAAGATCATGTTTAGAAATTAGTGGTTCGTGGCTATTTTGAGCAGCAATACGTTCCCTTAACATATTTTGCTTATACTTGTGGGAGATGGTTTCTATTCCAGGAACATTGCTCCTCGAAGAGTCATTGAACGGACAAGTGCTACTGGGCTCTTGAAGACGGCAATACAATATATGTATACGGCGATGTGTATACTGCTGGACATTCTAGCAATACGAATAGATAATAGAGGCCGGATTTGCAGATTCATGTTCGGAGCCACACTCACAGGGACATGGATTATAGGATAATGGCTGCTCAAGTCGGTCTATGTACAAATTCAAAAGGTCAAACGATCTTGTGTAACTGTCTCCACACTGAATGGCATGACATAATCCCTTAGAGATCCAGACAGATAGATATAAATTATATGCAGTTGCCTGATAGTCCAGACAATGTGAAACTCGGAGTTGCAACACAGTTTTCGTCCTCTCGCTCTCTCTCCCTCTCTCTTCTGTTGATAGAGAAATAGATAGTAGACAGACAGACAAATAGAAAGATAGGTAGATAGATAGATAGACAGATAGATAGATATATAGATAGATAGATAGATAGGTAGGTAGGTAGATAGATAGATAGATAGATAGATAGATAGATGGATAGATCAATTTGCGGAAATATGGATGTGTAAAAGATAGATTTTTAGCCAGACAGATACAGAAGAGGGTAGACAGACAGAGAGACAGACAGGCAAAGAGGCAGGCAGACACACACAGAGAAGCTGAGAGATAGAACTAAAGAAGGAAAATCAGACAGACGATTAGACAGACAGTTAGGCAGAGAGGCAGATGGATAGATGGAGAAATTGATTCATGGATAGATTGTTGTTTGCGGATTGCTCGATAGCCATGAAACTCCACGTTACAGCACAATTCAGTCAAGTATTATTGCCGACTTCCGTAGATAGCTAGATAGATAGATAGATAGATCGATAGATAGATAGATAGATAGATAGATAGAGAGATTGATTGATAGATAGATAGATAGATAAATTGACAGAAAAACGTGAAAGAGAAAGAGAGTCATTTTGGATTCGGCGTAACTCAAGAACTCACGCCACTGCACGCATTTGACGACTGAAACTGAAACGTGTGAAATGCTCTGCACTTTGTGCATCGAGTAATTTTCAGGGTATTGCTGAAACTTTCTCCTGTGTAGACAGAGAGAGAGTTAGATAGAGAGGAGAGAGGTAGACATTAGAAAACTACGAAGTGAGAAGAGATGGATGTAGAGATTGCGGGAGAGCGTGGTAGTGGAGGGGTGCTGGAGAAGAAGCACGAGACTGACGAAGGGTAAGTTAGAGTGACAAAGTGAGGCAGCCTTAAAAAGGGGAAGTGTGATTGAGCCGGAGAAAGGCAAGTGAGGTTACGATTGAGCCCGTATAGATCGAGAGACTGACTTCACACAGCCAGCACCTTTAGAAATGAAATCAAATGAATGATTGAGAATGGCCCTGGGTTGTATGTGTTGTTTGAGAGAAAGAAGGATATTGACAGAGAGACAGGAAGATTAGGAAAAAGACGCCGCAAGAGGTAGAGAGGAGGGACAGAGGGAGAGCAATGGACACGAAGAGAGTGAGTAGGAGTTATAAAGAGTGTAATGGAATGGGAATGGATGAACAGAACGCAAGAGAAGGGGAAAGAGCGTTAACGAAAGAGAGGGATAGTGAAATGGAGGAAGAAAGAGAGAGAATCAGAAAGATAGAGATTGGTAGACAGAGACAGATTGGAGCAGAGGGAGGCAGAGAGAGGGAGCGAAAGTCAAAGAGAGATTGAAACAGAGGGAGGCAGAGGGAGAGATAGTCAAAGAGAGATTGGAGCAGAGGGAGGCTGAGGGGAGAGAGTCAAAGAGAGATTGGAGCAGAGGAAGGCAGAGAGGGGAGAGTCAAATGCATAAGTTCCTCAAGGACTAGGGGTGCTGTGGGGAATAGGTCTACCAACGTGGAGTAGATCGCGATTATTTTAATGATCATAGCGGATGGACGAATGCAAGAAAGGATGAAGGCTCTAAGTGATGTTGACTCCATACTCAACACGTCGATAGGTCAGAGCAGTTGGGACGTTGAAGATTAGCAATTGTGTGCGGGCAAAACTTATGACCAGCTGCCGAGAAGTCTGCACATCCAACATCACCAGCACTCCTAATAGGTAAAAATACCCTCAGAAATACACACCATTAAGTTTACACATGCCAATCATATGCCAATCACACACTCAACAGGCAGTGTACAGCAGATGGGTTGAGGTGCCAGAAGGATGGCGGGCAATGGGCCTGGCCGCCGGTGAGATCGCAAGAGGGTCTTTGGGTCACCATTAAGTTTACATATGCCCATCACACACCCTACAATCATAATGAATGTACTGAACCAAAACCTCACCCTGGGTATTGCAGTGAATACATCCTACGCGTATTCGCAGATTTCATCGCTGCACAGCTACCCTCGATCTCAGTTACCTTCGTCTTTGTGCAATTGTTAATTTTGCCCCTAAAGTGTCCTCCCTGTTACTTTGCAACCTTCCTCCTCCTTGCTACACTCCTATCCATAACTCCATTATCACATTTACTTCCATGGAATTGGGCTTGTAGCCCGTGTGTACTTGCGAATTCAAACAAACATATACAATACATACAATACAATACGCTGCAATCAAGCTGTTACACGGCATTTACAGCGTCACTTACAGATCCTGAAAACTTGTGGGAGGAAAATTAAAGTTAAATTTCACAGTTCGCGTCAGACTTGGCTGGAAGCCGAGTTTTCCGCATCCGTAGTAGCGCCACAACCCTCTAGGATCAAGGCGAAGATGCAGTTTCTAAGCGGTCGGGGGGGGGGGGGAGCAGGGGGAGTAATGCAAACGGAAGACATGAGCGCTGAGTTAAGCATCATCCATACCTCTCTCACCGTTCTGACCTGGTGGACCAACTGGAGACCCAAATCCACCAATACCGCCATTCCCCTGGTCGCCACCTCTACCGCCTTCACCAGTGTTAGCATCGCCGCCATCACCACCTGCTCCACCAGGCCCTCCAGCAATCATTCTCACAGCTTGCCCGCCCTCACCGCCATTTCCGCCGTTACCTCCATTAAGACCATTTCCACCATCTCCTCCATCTCCTCCGGTGCCTCCTGGAAACACATCACTACTACGAGTTCCTTGACCTCCGCCCCCTCCTTGACCACCGTCACCGCCATCAGCACCATTAGATCCCTGTCCGCCATTCCCACCATCCCCTCCTCTTCCACTAGGCTGGCGTTCGGTATCGGACATGATATCAATAGGAGTGGCACCATCACCTCCATTTCCACCATTACCAGCTCTCTCTCCCCCGATTGATGCACCCCCTGCCCCACCACGGCCACCATTTCCCTGGACACCACTACTTTCGGTCCTTCCAATTCCAGCCCTATTACCAATGCCCCCTGTACCACCATCACCACCATTAGCACCAGTCGATTGGCCACCATTCCCACCTGCACCACCCTCACCACCAGGTGCCCCAGCCCCACCCGATCCTCCTCTTGATCCAGCACCTCCCTGTCCTCCACGACCTCCTTCGCTCCCCGAAGAGCCAGGTCCACCAGCACCACCGTTTCCACCATTACTACCGGCACCTCCTGTTCCAACTATGGCTTTGCCTCCCATACCAGCATTGCCACCAAGTCCACCATTCCCAGCAGTACGACCTCCGCTCGCGGCACCACCGACTCCACCTTGGCCACCAGTACCACCCCGACCCCCGGTGAAAGAACCTTCAGCATCACCACCAATACCACCGTTTCCAGCTCCACCACCATCACCACCAATACCGTTGATACCTGTTCCTCCATTCCCACCATCACCACCATCTCCTGCGTCTTGTCCATCTTCACCATCTTCGTTGTCTTCGCCATCACCACCTCTTCCTCCTTGGCCTCCAACACCACCATTGACTCCATCTCCACCATCACCTCCACGGCCACCCGGACCACCATTTCCTCCATCTCCACCGTTTCCACCAGAACCCCCATTGCCTCCTTCACCTCCATCACCTCCTTCACCTCCATCGCCACCTCTACCGCTGTCACCACCAGGCCCACCCGAGCCACCTCGACCACCATTTGCACCTATTCCACCAGCTCCACCGTCTCCCCCGTGTCCACCAGAACCGGACTGCGCACCACCTGAGCCTCCATTACCACCATTTCCACCATCACGGCCAGGACATCCATCAGCACCACGACCACCATTTCCACCATTTCCATTTGAAGAGACACGTCCTCCATCACCACCAGCACCACCAGCACCAGCGAGGATACACACACCACCATCACCTCCATCACCACCAGTACCATTCACTACAAGACCTCCATTTCCTCCACGTCCTCCAGTACCACCCGTTCCAGCTGTTCCTCCATCTCCACCTCTTCCACCAACTCCGTTTACGGTTCCACCTCCATCACCACCATTGCCACCATCCCCACCAGGGCATCCATCGGCACCACGACCACCAGTTCCGCCATTTCCGACTCCTAACACTTCACCACCTGTTCCACCATCGCCCCCCGTACCACCATCTGTGCAAATGCCACCATTACCAGCGTTTCCACCATTGCCAACCCGTGCTGGACCGCCATTTCCTCCCCGTCCACCAATAGCACCAGCTCCACCAGGTCCTCCTGGTCCTCCTTCACCACCATTACCTCTTGACGGTCCGCCATTACCGCCGCCACCTTCCCCACCTCCATTAGCACCCTCTCCGCCACTTCCACCCATTCCTCCAATGCCACCGTTGCCTATAGCATTAGATGATCCGCCATCACCACCTTCGCCCCCCACAGTCAAAATACCGCCATTACCTCCGCGCCCTCCATTTCCTCCGTTAGATAGTTCATCTGGTGCTCCCGTTCCGCCATTTCCGCCCCTAGCACCTACCAACAAGGTCGTAAGACCTGCACTATCACCAGAATTTCCACCGTTTCCACCATTCCCAGCATTACCACCAGTGCAACCATTACTTCCCCGACCACCCCTACCTCCAACCCCATTTCCAAATCCATCTCCGCCATTACCACCATCACCAGCAGCTCCTCCAACCAGGCACACACCTCCACCTCCACCAACAGCTCCGTTTCCATTCTCCCCACCATTGCCTCCTTGTCCTCCCGTACCACCCAATCCACCAATACCTGCAGTGCCACCCATTCCACCTCTACCTCCCATCCCATTGTCGCTTCCATTGCCTCCTCTTCCTCCCGTACCTCCGACAGCACCCACACCTGCCGAACCACCCATTCCTCCTATTCCTCCGTTTCCTTGACTTCCTGAGTTACCACCAGCCCCGCCGATTCCTCCATCAGCTGCTATACCACCACTACCACCCAGTCCTCCTTGACCACCCTCACCCCCTACTTCTCCACCCTGTCCTCCTATTCCACCATTTCCTCCGACTGCTAGTCTTCCGCCATTACCTCCAGTTCCTCCAATACCGCCGTTACTATCTGCTCCACCTGTTCCCCCATTTCCGCCTGCACCTCCAACCTGCAGGGAGATTCCGTTCATGCCAATACCGCCATCTCCTCCATTCTCCCCAGGACCACCGTCTCTGCCATTCTCCCCAGCTTGAGCGGGTCCTAAAGTCATTTGGTTGTTATCATTCCCATTATTTTGACTTACTGCATCATTTCCGTCCGACCTGCTACCTCCGTCGTCTTTGGAATCCGCACTAGGGTCAGATTCGCTGTCAGAAATGGATCTAGCTTGCCTGCTATGCTCCATCGCATTGTCAATGCCGTCATCAGCCGGAGGAGTTCTTGATCTAGCGGTGGCTGCATATAATCTGGGATGACCTGCACAGTGGTGCCACAGAATTAACAATGTATTTGACATCGGGACTGGCTCCATTCAACAGCCATGCCTGTATTATCATATCTAACTCGGATACTGAGTCAGTAAAATTTAATATAATTAAAATAGAAGAAAACACCTGGAAACGAGTTATGATACAACTATGCACGAATGTATCAAGATAAACTCGGATACTGAGCCAGTGATAAAAATGTAAAAAAGAGAAGAAACACATGAGAACGAGTTATGCAGCAACTATCCTAGCCCATCAGTTTTGTGCCCTATTATCGCACTTTCTGACGGTTTATCATCTTGTTACAGTCGTGGATAGTTGCTGCATAACTCGTTCTCATGTGTTTCTTCTCTTTTTGTACGTATCAAGATAAGCAGTCATAAGGTCCTTCCCTCAGACGTCCTACCATAACCGTGAACCTTTCAAGCGGGAAGGCTGTTGGTTTTCGCACTGGAGATGTGTTAGAGTCGTTGGTAGTTGTTTCCATGTGATGTCCTCTATTTTAATTACATAATTATCATATCTTTCAGAAGATTGGAGGACCATGGAACTACTAGTTCCGCTATAATGTCCAATAACACCACCAGTTCCCTTACATTGCATTTCCCCTACATTTCAGTCTTATCATTCGTTTGGAGAAGTAACGTTTCTCCTAGCTCTCCTTCAGGAGAGTGAACAGTTTGATCAAATGGAGTGAAGAATGGAACGGACCTAGGGATGAGAGCTCATTGGCGGTCAATGTGGAGTCACGACTTGTAGGTGTTCGGCTGGTTGGTCACCCTGAGCTCCGTCAACGCGGGCATAGAGCTGAAGCGAGCGCGAAGCCGAGGTTGCGCTTACTGGCTGGCGGCGGCTTGCCTAGCTCCACAACATGTACGGCGTCCATGTCAGAACTACCACCACACCACCTGCAACGCCACGGCTGAGGAATGTTGGAATGTTGGAGTCTACCTTGTTCGTTTTGCCAGTATGCCAGGCAAGTACACTGTTTTCTATGAACTTTTTTCGAAGTGTCATGCGCTCAATGCTTCCCTCTTGTTGTGTAGGTTTCGACTTTGTACTTCTCAGCTCTAGTCTAGTCTATACAGTCATAATATTATTATGTTAACTTGTATCATGTCTGCGCCTTTTGACACTCTGTACGTCAATTATCAGTACATGCATCCTACTGACAGTTTACTAGTAGACTATTATAGTACTCAGCAGTTTTCGGCCTGTATTTGTTGAAGTAGATAGTTCACAGTCCGTGTGTTTTAGGACTGTTTTGGTATAATTTTTTCTTTCTTTCCTATTCTGCTGTTAATTGCGTATTAGCACCTCATTGACCCCGCTCAGTTGTTTGGCACTGTTCGTCGTGAAGGTGCGAAATAGATCCCATGATCTCTTGATATTTTCTCTCTTTTTCTTGTCACTACGTTTTTGTCACTTATTGGATTTGCATGCTGTTTTCTTGACTCTTCACTTCTATTTTTTGTTCGTGTCACTTCTACACATAACTGGAGTGATGTATCTCTGAAATAATAATAATAATAATAATTTTTAAAAGAGGTCGGAGGCGGATAATACTTTAAAACGAAGGTAAGTTATGGGTCGCAAGTATCCACGCAAACACACATCCAGTCATAATAAGGCACTTGTCATAAGTATCCGAACGTTTTCGGTCCCTTCTCATCAAGGATTATACAGGGAATGGCTCAAGCTGGAAAGACTAAAACTTATATAGCGTAATTAATTATCTTTACGCTATATAAGTTTTAGTCTTTCCAGCTTGAGCCATTCCCTGTATAATCCTTGATGAGAAGGGACCGAAAACGTTCGGATACTTATGACAAGTGCCTTATTATGACTGGATGTGTGTTTGCGTGGATACTTGCGACCCATAACTTACCTTCGTTTAAAAAAATAATAATAATAATAACGAAACGAAAAATTACCAATACGCCATAATGAAGTCAATTGCTCGAACTGATTCCAATTGCAGGCTTTGCAAGGGCAGCTTAGAAAAAATTGACCACATTGTGAGTGCCTGCCCAGTTCTTGCACGGACCAGTTACATCGAACGTCATAACCGAATAGTAAAGTATGTGCACTTCGAAATGTGTAGAGCACGAGATCTACCTACTGCAGTACTGGTGCTTCACAATTCGACCACCAGCTCAAGGCATTGGTCAAAAGTGATCGGTATCGGCTCTATTGGGAGTATTCGGTCCCAACTGACCTGAAACTATCAGCAAAGAGGCCCGATCTGCTCCTTGTTGATCACAAGGAGCGCATCGCATACATTATAGACATCAGCGTTCCTGGTGAGAACAACATCAATAAGAAAATGGCTGAAAAGCGCTCGAAATATTATGACTTGAAGCGGGAGATTTCCAGAATTTGGTCCCTCACCCAGGTTGACGTGGTCCCTGTGGTTGTCCGTGCCCTGGGAGGCTTGGTGGGGGAGACTCCTCAATGCCTCCGGACTGCGCAGGGAGGAAACCTGGCTATTGTGCAACAGGAGGCTATCCAAGGTTCGGTTAAAATACTAAGAACTGTCCTTAACATGTAGATGCACATCTGCTGCGTTTTCATGTTCAATAGCCAAGATACTTGAACATGGACTGATAAAGATATTTCCTTTGTAATCCCCATAACAACATCAACGTCCTTATCATTCGTACAATACCTGTATTTGTACAATACATGTCGTTGCAAATTCTTTATTATTGTTTTGATGTTGGAGTTTGGATTGAGTTTCTTTCCTTTCTTCCTCTTCCTTCCCCTATTTCTTGTCCCTTTGGTTTTTGGCTTTTTAATTTTTTTCACTTTCTTTTTGCTGTCCCACCCATGGAAATATTTCCGGGTGGGTCTGGCTTATCGCCTTCGAAAGAAGTGAATAAAGGAGACATAATAACTGGAAATCAGCTTTAGCGGCTATGAAGTCGAGACCCTAGGTCAGCGGAGCTCCCTAAACCTCACCACCAGTGCCACGATTCAGGTTGTGCGTGCTTCCCCTAGCTGCATCTCATGTTTGGCATTTAAGTGGTCTTTGTAAAAAATAAAAATAAAAAAGCACATCTTGGGGGCACACTCCAATGTTATTTCTCACTTCGAACCTTCAAAGCCGGAAGACTGTTGCAGTGCGCATCCAAGATGTGGGAGAGCTGATTGCCAGTCACCTCGCTCTAACTGAGTCCCACGGGAACAGCAACATAGTTTCATTTCATAGACAACATACCTTGTCTAAGTACATTATAAAGTGATGCATATGATGTTGCCTGATGTTTGCGAGAGCATGAAACTTGAAGTAGCAGCAAACAAGCCTGATTGTCCTTGTTGTTCTGTTCTAAATTCATGCATATCATTTTTCTGAAAACCTTGAGCGTCTCCTGTCTCTGCTCGAGTTAGAGAATACCGAAGAAGAACAAATTGAACATTTCTTATCAATATACATGTACGCTTTGTTCTATATTTTTTTTGCTTCCTCTGATTACCAGGCGGTTATGTAACTTCCTTACCGCCACGACAAGGCTACTCTTACCGTGTAGACTGTTATACGCGGTACCGTCCACTGGGTTGGAACAGAGCGTGAGCTGCATGCTCATCAAGAGAATCCAGTTTGCCAACATCAGAACTGGGATATGAAAATGCCCTGGCAACATTGTCCAAGTAACACTGGGTGTCGTCACTGATGTTAAAACCTTACAAGCAGACACACTGTGCATTCATTTGCTGTTTATCCGTCACTCAAGTTTTTCTGCAACACTGCGACATTTCACAAAGGATGTGTCTGCTAATAAAGGACAGCTTATGGCTATCGTTATATCGTCAATGCAGACAGTTAGGTCTTAGCATGCCTTCCCAGTTCTGGCCGTACATTAGCTCTTGCAGGTGAGAAGTACATGTAGTTGAATTGCGAGCTGAGGGAGCAGTGTGTGGTAATATGCAGAGGAATGTGCGATCTAACTTGTATTTGCGCCGACAGTTAGGTGCTAGCATGCCTTCTCAGGTCTGGCCATAAATAATTAGCTCTTGCAGGTGAGCAGTAGTTGCATTTCGTGCTGGGGAAGCAGCATGTTGCAATATGTGGAGGAATGTGTGATCTAACTTGTACTTCCGCGATTTGGACAAGTTGATAGTGATAGGAGATGTTTCCTATCTCAGAGCTGTCAAAATCATTGCAGTTCACAGGACATATATGTCGTTGGTGTGTAACCTTACTTGTAGGATTGATATGTTCATGATGTATGTACAGAGGCATGATGTATGTACACGATGATGATTTCAATCTCTTGTAGGGATCACATGGGCACAATATTTTGCTGCGTCATAAGTACGGATAAAGACCTTACATGGAGACTGCTATATGTAGGCGTTGTTACGTCGTTGCATCAGTCATCCGGCATTGCTACGGCACACCACAAGTCACTGGCCAAGACACCTGGTATCTGCCAAGGGACAAGAAAGTATTCTTTCTAGACCAAAGAGTGGTATATTTGATAAATAAAGATAGAAATATTTACGATGCTTGTCCACTGACGATGTTGTTCAGAACAACGAAACGCCTGGAGAATTATCGTAAATATTTCTATCTTTAATTATCAAATATACCACTCATTGGTCTAGAAAGATTACTTTTTTGATATGACAATGAGAGTGGATAGTCAATGGCTTGTCCACCAACTCTTCGACGGACAAGAGATAAACCCATGAGAGGCGTTAGGAAGTAGGGTGGTAAGAAATACCGTCCACTGCGTAGATGCTGACGGCTGACCACGCTCAACAAAGCACTACGTGAGTCTAGGTGTACAGGCACTAACCTTTCCCAGCGCTTCCCCGCACTATGTACTATGTGCAACTCACGTTACCTGACGGGAACGCACTATGGGCAACTCACTATGGGCAACTTTACCTGACGGGAAAGCTCCAGGAACGTCACATGAGTATGTTTTCCCATTTCTCACACATGTGACAAGCCAACACAAAAGGAATCGTACAGAATAAAGGTGTTATGACAATGGAAAATGAAGTTCGCAAATCGGTT